TCGTTTTTTAATTTGACAGGTAGAGTTATAGACAGTGAGAGAGACAGAGAGAAAGGTCTTCCATCCGTTGGTTCACCCCCCAAATGGCTGCTATGGCCGGCGCTGTGCTGATCCGGAGCCAGGAGCCAGGTGCTTCCTCCTGGTCTCCCATGCGGGTGCAGGGCCCAAGCACTTGGGCCATCCTCCAATGCCTTCCCGGGCCACAGCAGAGAGCTGGCCTGGAAGAGGAGCAACCGGGACTAGAACCCGGCGCCCATATGGGATGCCGGTGCCGCAGGCGGAGGATTAGCCAAGTGAGCCCCGGCGCCGGCCCCACATTGAGGACTTTCACTTACCTAACACCACTGTAAGACAGGGACTATCACTAACCTCCTTTCCCACCTAGAAAACTGGGACTTTGAAAGGTTAGGTAACTTTCCTGGGTCATGTATGTCGAACATAGACACTGAGATTTCATCTGTTTAACTCTTGTGGCAAGAATAACCAGCTCAGTGGCTCTCCCTGCTTATTAGGAGTATTTCAATGTCCGTCTAGAGGAGATTTCATCCAGTGATTTGTTCACTGAGAAGATTTTCATTAAGCATTTATCAATTATGTATCAATACCATACCAGTAACTCGAAGTCAACGTGACAGAGATTCTAGGTGAAGCTGCTCACTGAGGCATCTGACATCAGTGAGATCCACAAGCCATTAAGAAAAAGCTCTACCTGGTCGTGTGATTATGTTCTACAAATGTACCACTGCACGTGGACCACGGACCACACATCTGCACACTGATATTCCAACAGACTGGGACAACCATCTTAACAAAATTTTCCAATCTTGCATACTACAGATTCTTAAGCTTTCCAACCAAACAAAATACGCAATGAAAACACACACATGTTCCACCACGTACGCAGCGGAAGGTCTTCCATCCGCACATCCGCTCCACAGAGCAGCGCTCTTTGCGTTGGGAAGCCACGGCGATAGTGCCTTAGCTTTCTGAACACACTTCTGGTCGCCGGCTGTGCAGCTCCTCCAACTCACCGCCTGCCAAGCAGTCAGCACACGTGGTAAAGGGCTGACCACCACTTTGGAGAATAAATTTCAAGGCAGGCAGTTTGCAATTCTGTCTGTTGCTGGAACTCACACCAAAGGGACACACAGGGTGCAGCAGAAGAGAAGAAAAGCAAACTGACGCTTCTAAGACCACAAGAATCTTTCACTGTGTGTGTCCTCAACCTGTCACAGATACCGGCCACCACATCTTTAAAAAAGAATGACTCATTCTATTTATTTGAAAGGCAGAGTGATGGGAAGCGAGGAGGGAGATGGAGACAGAGTTATATGAGTTATATCCCGTCCATGGTTCACTCCTCAAATGCCCACAACAGCCAGGGTGGGCCGGGACAAAGACAGGAGCCAGAAACTTCACCCTGACCTCCCACGTGGGTGGCAGGGGCCCAGGTGCCTGGCCCACCTTGCACTGGCCACCTTCCCAGGCACACGAGCAGGAAGCTGAGTCAGAGTGGGCACTCCCACATGGGAGACCCACGTCACAAGCAGCAGCTTCGCCCACTGCACTGCCTTGCCAGCCCCTGCCCATCCGAACTTTTTAAGATTTATTTTATTTATTTGAAAGGCATACTTACAGAGAGAGAGAAAAGGAGAGACAGAGAGTCTTCCATCCACTGGCTCACTCTCCAAATGGCTGGGCCAGACGGATGGGAGCCAGGAGCTTCTCCCATGTGGGTGCAGAGACCATCCTCCATTGTTTTCTCTGGAGCAGCAGCAGGGAGCTGGGTTGAAAATGGAGCAGCCAGGACTCAAACTAGCACCCACATGGGATGCCAGCGTTGCAGGCGGTGGCTCTACTCACTACACCACGCCAGCCCCCACCATACTTCTGTCAGGACTTTCAAAATAGAAAATATGTAAACAGCTAAAGCTAAGGGGGAACAATTTTGTATCTACCTAAGTACAGGTGTTAAATTTTCTATGTCAGTACAATACACATTAAACTAACAATGTGGCAATTTTACTTGTGTTGCTTCTGTGCCTGCCGCGCACACACACAGTATATATGGCATACACACTTTACCCAGCAGGGTGGCACAGGTGTCCTATAAACAAACTTGAGAAGATGCCACAGTTTGGGAACCCTGCTTGATTAAAAAAAAAAAAAAATCAATACAATTTCCCCATAGGTTCATGAAGTAAAATTCCATAATCAAGGCTTGTAGATCTGTAATTATGGTATGTCAGCTACATTTAAACAAGAGTGTTAAAAGATTGTTAAAGTTAAACTAACACAATTGCAGTGTGAATTGTCCTAGTCTCATTCTAATCTACTGATGTCACTTTCATTTAATCAGAGGGAAACTATAGGCCAATGTCAGAGCTATTTTCAATGCTCTAACATTCTCTGTTCACACTGGATTTTAAGCTATTACCAATCAAAAACAGTTATAAAAAGATACATTTAAGAAAATATTTTTAATCACTTCATTTACCCATTAGCTACTTTATCAGGCTTTATTAAAGTAAGTTGCCTTTAAAGTTATTAAATAATCTTTTATGTTAAGTGGATGAAAACATTTCTTCTTGTACAAGAATTTTTTTGACTTACCACAAGTCTAATAAAAAATAAAATTTATTCTACTTGGACCTAAGTCACTGGCTGAAATACCACGGCCAACACTGAAGAACATTAATTCTACATTTTCTTCTGCTTTAGTGAAAATTATTTTCTAAATCACTACCAAATTATTATGGGAAAACTACTCAGGCAAGGATTCATATTCATACCATGCATTTAAGCTTTAAGTAACGTAGAGCACACAGCTTACAGTTCCACTATCAGCAAGTAAACCCAAATAAATCGGAGCACTTAAAACACGGCCAAGTCAGCCAGTCACAGAAATGGATCCAAACCTACCCACGAACACCCGCTACAGGCTGAGCAGGCCTGTATGAAATGTCTGGGACCACAAACGTTTAACATTTTGGAGATTTTTGGGTTTCGAAATATTTGCATAAACTTCACTGACTGTGACTCCCTAACGTGAAAAACCAAAATGCTCCAAAACCTGGAACTGATGAGCACACTATCAGTATTCACAGTTCAGGACCATGAATACGTCAGACTTCAGATCTTCCAATCAGGGATGGGCTACCTGTGCCAGCGGCTGCTCCAAGAAACTGAGTGATGACTCAGGCAGCCTACGGCGCACACGGCGCACACGGCCCGGTAAGCGCCACCGGTCCTTGTCCCAGGGAGCTAATGCCTTTCTGGATACCAGACCCTCTGCCTGGTCACACACAAGGCACGTTTCTCTAACGAGGTGCTCTGCCCACTCCCCTAGGGTCTAAAATGTCACCTGTGACACCCGCCTCCACCCTCCACCCACCAGAGCGCCTTCCACATCTGGCCGACAGGCAGACACGGCCCCCTCCCACTCTGCCCCAGGGCACTACCAAGTACCATGTGTACCCACGTCCCTCCCAGCCCCCGCGGCCACCCCAGTGTCCCAGCACACGTGACTACACACCAAGGCCTAAGAACGGCCTGCCGGTCTGAACTCCAGCAGAAACGCCTGAAATCAATTCCTAGCCTTCTCAGTTTCTGGAAACAAAACTGAACAAACCGCGGTTGGGAGTGATTACTTCAACCTCTTCTTCCTGATAGAGGTGATGACCCCGAGGGGACACGAGCCCATGGGAAACAGCCTCTAACTAGAGAAACGAGGCTGAGAACAGAACTGGGTTTTACATCTCTGATCTACAAAAACCACCAAACAGAACCCCTTTCGCAAGGCCAAGGATACATCTAACTCATGAAACGAATAAAGTCTTTGCCACGAAATGAGGAGGAGGAAAAGCCTGCCTTCGTCACTCGCGCTGCAGAAGGGATGCCCACGTTAGGGAGGGAGAGCCCGGGGCGCGCGCGGTCACCACGCTGCCGCCTCGGCCCAGGAAGAAGACACCGCAGCAGCGGGCGGCAGGGCCACAGGAAAATGATTTTCAGGAAAAAGGGGGCGTAAGAGACAGTACGTATGGACGTATAGACGGACACGACCAAAGCGGCAAACAAACAGCTAAGGCAGAAGCCTGGGCTCTCCAACAGAAAGGCTTCGGGAGAGACACTCGGCAGAGAGCAGGTCTCATGAAGATGCACTTCTGGGAGCGCAGAACTCAGCCTGGGGGAGCCAAACTTTCCCCGGTGACAGGGCCGGCGCGGGCCGCAGGCCGGGGCCGCCCACCGCCCTGCGCACGCCGGGCCAGGCCCTCTCCGGCCGCCCACCGCCCTGCGCACGCCGGGGCCAGGCCCTCTCCGGCCGCCCACCGCCCTGCGCACGCCGGGGCCAGGCCCTCTCCGGCCGCCCACCGCCCTGCGCACGCCGGGCCAGGCCCTCTCCGGCCGCCCACCGCCCTGCGCACTCCGCCGAGCCCACGGGCGGCCTCGGCCGCGGGGGCTGTGACTGGCGTTTCCACCACGCACCTCGCCCCCGCACGGAGACCTCGCTGCGCCGGCGGCGTGGGCTCGGACCGGTCCGGTTTCTCCCGCCAACTGCGCCAGGCCCGGGTCTCGCGGGCTACGTGGGGATGCCACCGGCCGGGGCCCGCGCGGGGCCGCGTGGGGCCGGGGAGCGGCTGCGGGCCTCCCCGCAGCCACGCGGCCTTCGTGCGGGCCGGCGGCCGGGCGGGCGCGGGGGCCGAGCAGGGCCGAGCAGGGTCCAGGCCGCGGGCCGGCCCGCCGAGGGCAGCGGCGCGGAGGGGCGAGGGCTGGGCCTGGGCCCGGACCCCGGCCCGCGCGTCCCCGAGCCCCGCGCCGGCCCCGCAGGCGGCCCCACAGGCGGCCCCGGGGCGGGCGCAGCGCCTCCCGCGGCTCCTTACCGCTTCACCACGCCGGTCTTGATCTTGATCTGCCTCACGCGAGGGTCGGCCATGGTCCCGGAGCGCCGCGCAGGAGGGGCGGGAGCCGAGCGGCCGGAGGGCGGCGGCGGGCCGGCGCGCATGCGCGGCGCGGGGGCGGGGCCGGGGCTCCGCGCGGGGCGGGCGCGCAGCCGCCGTCGCGGGGCGCTTCGAGCGGCCGGGCAGCGCGGGCACCCGTGATCGCGTGCTGGACCCGCTGTCTGGTGGCCAGAACCGCCGCCGGCTCCCTCGGCCCCGGCGGGCGACGCGCGCTTCCTCACGGCCGCAGCAGGCCGGCCGGGCCCGGGTCCCCGCCGCGTCGCTGCGCTGCGCGCGCCTTCAGACGGCGGTGCGGTCTCGGGGCGGCCCGTGCGGTGGGGTCGCCCCGAGCGCCCCGCGGCGCCGCCCGCTGCGGCCTTCCCGGCCCCCACGTGGGCTCCCTGCCCTTCCCCGACCCCTACGTGGGCTCCCTGCCCTTCCCCGCCCCCACGTGGGCTCCCTGCCCTTCCCCGCCCCCACGTGGGCTCCCTGCCCTTCCCATCCCCCACGTGGGCTCCCTGCCCTTCCCGGCCCCCACGTGGGCTCCCTGCCCTTCCCCGACCCCCACGTGGGCTCCCTGCCCTTCCCGGCCCCCACGTGGGCTCCCTGCCCTTCCCCGACCCCCACGTGGGCTCCCTGCCCTTCCCGACCCCCACGTGGGCTCCCTGCCCTTCCCCGACCCCCACGTGGGCTCCCTGCCCTTCCCCGCCCCCACGTGGGCTCCCTGCCCTTCCCCGACCCCCACGTGGGCTCCCTGCCCTTCCCGGCCCCCACGTGGGCTCCCTGCCCTTCCCGGCCCCCACGTGGGCTCCCTGCCCTTCCCCGACCCTCACGTGGGCTCCCTGCCCTTCCCCAACCCCCATGTGGGCTCGTGCCCACCTGGCGATGACCTGGCTCGGAGGCCGCCATGCCGGCTCCCACAGCCTCCTCGCCCTGCGCAGCCCCCGTGTGTGCTGTGGACTCCACAGACACGGTTAGCCGGCACATGGAGACATGGTCGCAAGGGGCGCGGGGCGGGAACGCAGCCCCAGCGAGCGCACCAAGGCAGCAGCGGCTGCAGAGGTCCACTCTTCCATCAGGCAGCCAAAGCCCTGGACCCCCACGCATCCCCCGTTCGCCTTGCTTTCCCGGAGCTCAGAGCCACCCACACCCCGATACCCACCAGCTGCCCTGCCCTCTGGCCTGTACTGTCCATCAGTGTGGCGCGGCTGCTGTGTGTAGCCAGGCCCAGGCCTTGAGCACACCGTGTGTGCGTCCACGTGCAGCGTGCGGTAGGTTAGGATGGCGGAGCCTGGCCCCGCCTCCACGGCATTTGACAGCAGTGGTGGGGAACTTCAGCTCCAAGGCCAGACTGGGTTGGGTCCGATTCCAGCTCTGCTTCTCAGCGTGTAACGCTGGACAGGTCATTCCAGCTCTCAGGGCCCCAGAGTATCCGTCTGTGATACACCTGCCACCTGCCTCGCAAGGCTGTTAGGAAGCACGATGTGTGATGCTTTCGTGTTGTCAAGAGCATACTCAGCCCCGTGGTAAATACGGCGTCTGCGGGGAAAAGCCTGAACCAGAAAGCTCGCAACACGGCGCCAGGCGCACAGAGAAACTGGAGCTGCCGGTCAGCACCGAGACGATGCTGAGCTCCGTCGGACCTCCCGAGGAGGACCCGGTGGCTCTGACCACGGTGCCCAGCGTGCAGCAGTGCCTGGCGTGTGGCTCGTTCTCAGTGTTTCCTGCATGAATAAGTGAGTGCTGCTGCGGTGCAGGGGGTTCAGCTGTCTTTTGGGATGCCTAGTCTGTGTCCCGCTACTCCCTGCTTGCAACCCAGCCTCGGCTAACGCGCCGGGGAGGCAGCAGAGGATGGGCCAAGGAGTTGGGTTCCTGCCACCCGCGTGCAAGACCTGGATGCAGTCCCTGGCTCCGGACTTCAGCCTAGCCTACCCCAGGCTATTGTGGCATTGGGGGAATGAATCAGCAGATGGAGGATCTCTCTGTCTTTTCTCCTCTCTGCCTTAGAAACAAATCTTTAAAAAAAAGTATTAAAGGCCGGTGCTGCGGCTCACTAGGCTAATCCTCCGCCTAGCGGCGCTGGCACACTGGGTTCTAGTCCCGGTCGGGGCGCCGGATTCTGTCCCAGTTGCCCCTCTTCCAGGCCAGCTCTCTGCTGTGGCCAGGGAGTGCAGTGGAGGATGGCCCAGGTGCTTGGGCCCTGCACCCCATGGGAGACCAGGAAAAGCACCTGGCTCCTGGCTCCTGCCATCGGATCAGCGCGGTGCGCCGGCCACAGCGCGCAGGCCTCGACGGCCATTGGAGGGTGAACCAACGGCAAAGGAAGACCTTTCTCTCTCTCTCTCTCTCTCACTGTCCACTCTGCCTGTCAAAAAAAAAAAAGTATTAAAAAGTAATTCTGTTCTGTAATAAACAAAAATTTTCAGGGTAGGAGTTTGGCCTACATCACATCAGAGTGCTAGGGTTTGAGTCCTGGCTCCGTTCCTGGTTCAGCATCCTGATGTTGGGTACCCTAGGAGACGGGGACCATGGCTCAAATAATGGGTTCTTGGCTTCCACCTTCAACCCTGGCCCAGTTCCAGCCACTGTGGGCATCTGGGGAGTGAAGCAGCCGGAGGGAGCAGTCTTTCTCTTTACCCCTCAAATAAATAAAAGTTTAAAAACTACATTTTCCCCACTTACCATCTTTTTGTTTTTAAGATTTTATTTACTTATTTGAGAGGTAGAGTTAGAGAGAGAGAGAGAGGAGAGACAGAAAGGGCTGCCATCAGCAGGTTCACTCTCCAAATGGCTTCAGTGGCCAGAGTTGTGCAGATCCAAAGCCAGGAGCCAGGAGCTTCCTCTGGGTCTCCCACCCGGGTACAGGGGCCGAAGCACGTGGCCCATCTTCTGCTGTTTTCCCAGGCCAAAACCAGACAGCTGGATCAGAAGAGGAGCAGCCAGGTCTCGAATCGGCACCCAGGCAGAGGCTCAGCCCACTACGCCACAGTGCCGGCCCCACATTTTCCCCACTTACCAGTATGTCGTTGAGACTGTCACCCTGGCAGGTTGACAGTGAAGACAAGAAGAACCCCCCCACACACACACACCCATCTCCCTCCAGGCCTCACCCCTTGGACAGTGGGTGGAAGCTGCTTCAGGTCAGTACACAGGAGTGCTCCACAGGGAGGCCTGTGGGGTCCGGGCCGGTAGAAGCCCCAGAGGCATGAGAGGGAACCGAAGTACGCCGCATTTCCCACTGGTGGGCCCTGCTGTCCTCGCCTTGGCTGCGTTCTGTTTCAGGATCGCACCTGGTCTCAGGGGAGCTGCAGGAGCAAGTGGGGACAAGCTGCCAGCATTTGAGACTGAGAGTTGGCACCAGCTCAGGAGCTCATTCACTGTTGCCCGTGGTGAGGAATCTGGCAGCGCGAGAGGAAAGTCCAGCCCTGGCCTGCCTGCAGGTTATAAAGAACACTGCAGGTTCTCTCACAAATGTAGGGGGTCCTCCACTCCACTTCCCACGGATAAACTCAGTCTCCGTATCCCTGCACACCGAACTTTCCCCCTAGGCTGGAGAATCTTCCAGATTAGAGAGCACACTGACTCACCTTGGGATCCCCACCATCATGACTAACGGCCAGTGGAGAGACGCACAGAGTGTTTGCTGAGTTAAATAGGCGTCAAGGGTGGGACCTTAACTGTGACTGGATTGAGAGGCTGGTCATATTTCTGCCCTCCTGAATTACCAGGCAACCTGTGAGCTGTGTGGCATCTGTGGCACTCCAGGGCCCACCGTGCACTTGCTGTGACCCCATGCTTCTGTCTACCACCACCAAGGGCCAGCCAGAGAAACATCCCGTGAGGAAGGGTGGCTGGTCAAAGTTTACTTCTGGGATTGTCTGCTAGCCACCTCAGCTGCACCTGCACGTCTGGCTCCCTCCACCGCCTGTTACTGGAGCCGCTGCAGTGGTCAACTCAGCGGCTCCCAGGCTTGGGCCAGCACGACGTGAAGCGCCCGGCAGCACCTCATTCGGGCCTCCGCCACGTGCCCAGGAGCCACTGCTGCCCCCTTTCCAGGCAGTGGACAGTCTCACGAGGCGCCTCAGACGCCCCATGGGGTCAAGCACCGGACAATGACAGACTCGACCATCCAGGCTGGCGCTGCCTTTCCCCCTCTCTCTCTGCCGTAGCCAATCCTCCCTACCTGCCCAGAACCGCTTTCTGAGTAACAGGGAGGAAATGGACCCAACTTAGGAATACCAATCCAACGCATTCACCCTGTGTGGCCGGAACACTGCCGGCTCTGAGTGGCGCACACAGCAAGAGGGGCCTCTGCAGAGGTCTGGGCTGCGGGGTAAGACCCTGCCTCTCAGGCACTGACCCCGCAGGCCCAACAGCGCTGACACACCTGCAGGGCGTCTCTGGTAAACCCTGAGAGCGGGCACCCTACAGACCAGGCCTAGCGTGGTTGCAAAGTGCCCACTTCTCTGAAACACTACTCCTGGGCCCCGGTAGACTCAGAAGTCAGAGGCCTGAAGGAATTGTGGAAAAAAGAAAAAAAGCCAGGAGAACAGGCAGGCCATGTGGCTGCTCACGTTAATCCCGCCATGGAGACCCTCAGTGACAGAGTGGACAGGACGACTTGTGCCCACACAGCCCCCTGGGGGGCTGGGCTGTGAAGACAGCGCCCTAGACACAGCGAGGGAGGCTGGGAAAGGCAGCCTGTGAGAGGCCAGCCCCCAAGGCTTTCTGCCTCCGGGTGTCACGCCTGGGTGTGGACATGGTGACTCAGTTCCATCGTGGGCACCCTTTCTCGTCCCCAGGAAACCGCGGAGGTTCTGCTGAGCCTCACCAGCCATGTGCCTGTGGGAGCCCACCGAGCTGAGCCCCCTCCCTGAGACCCAAAGCCCAAGGACTCCCCACAACGGAGGTGCAGGGGCAGGGCTCTGCCTCTCCGCCGTGGGTTTTGCAATTCACCTCTGGCCCTAAACCTGAATACCCCTCTTAGCCAAGTAACAGCCTCCCCTGCAGATGTACCCACTTAGGTTTTCAACAAATGCTGAGGCTCTGCGCCCAGCACTGTCCTAGAATGGACGGTGATGACACAGCACAGTGTGCCCGGCCTCATCCTGGCATGGACAGTGAAGACACAGCACAGCGCACCCGGCACCATCCTGCATGGATAGTGAAGACACTGCACAGCACACCCGGCATGGACAGTGATGACACGGCAGGGCACACTCCGCACTGTCCCAGCATGGACAGTGATGACGCAGCACAGTGTGCCTGGCACCATCCTGGCATGGACAGTGAAGACACAGCACGGCGCACTCCGCACTGTCCTGGCACGGACGGTGATGACGCGGCACAGTGGAGGCGGAGGCGCATCCCTGCCTTGAAGCACACAGTCCCTGGTGAGCTGCAGCCTCTCCGCGGAGCTTAATCCTTCCATGTAAATGCCACGTGGTATCAGTCCCACAGAGGCAGTGGCTCCATGCAGACGGGCATTCCGGCCCTAAGCCAGCTCTCACCACACCCTTTCTCACCCTCGGGACTGACCAGCCTGTCTTCCTCTCTCACTCCCCACTCCCCCCATTGCTCTGCCCACCCCATAATCCAGTGCAATTTGGTTCAGGACTCTCTTTCTAACAGCCTCTTTCTGTTTCCACATCTCCCTGGCCAACAAACCCACCCCACCATGCTGAAGCTGTCTAGAACACTGTGCTTGGCCCACAGAGGGCCTGGAACCACTAATGTCTCTTGCTGTCAAAGGGCAGGGCCTGTGGCCCCAACTCAGATTGTGGCCTTTGTACCCTCCAAGACTCAGGAGGCAGGCATTTCCACCCTGGAGGCAGAGTTTGCTCTGCTCATCACTGTTTTCTTTCTTTCTTTCTTTCTTTCTTTCTTTCTTTCTTTCTTTCTTTCTTTCTTTCTTTCTTTCTTTTTTTTTTTTTTTTTGACAAGCAGAGTGGACAGTGAGAGAGAGACAGAGAGAAAGGTCTTCCTTTCTGCCGTTGGTTCATCTTCCAATGGCCGCTGCAGCCGGTGCGCTGCGGCTGGCGCGCTGCGGCCGGCGCGTCGTGCTGATCTGAAGCCAGGAGCCAGGTGCTTCTCCTGGTCTCCCATGAGGATGCAGGGCCCAAGCACTTGGGCCATCCTCCACTGCACTCCCGGGCCACAGCAGAGAGCTGGCCTGGAAGAGGGGCAACCGGGACAGAATCCAGCGCCCCGACCGGGACTAGAACCTGGTGTGCCAGCGCTGCAGGCGGAGGATTAGCCTATTGAGCTGCGGCGCCGGCCTGCTCATCGCTGTTTTCAAAGCAATCTTTTTATGGGAGAATAAAACACACATATAGAAATGTCCATGGGGAATTGTGGGTAAAGCCGCTGCCTGCAGTGCTAGGATCCCATATGATGCCAGCTCGAGTGCCAGCTGCTCCATTTCCAATCCAGCTCTCTGCTAGGACCTGGAAAAGCACCAGAAGATGCCCCAAGTACTTGGGCCCCTGCACCTGCATGGGAGACCTGGAAGAAGCTCCTGGCTCCTGGCTTTGGATCGGTCCAGTTCTGGCCAATATGGCCATTTGGGGAGCGAACCAGCAAATGGAAAACCTCCCTCTCTCTCTCTCTCTCTTTCTCTCTGTCTCCCCCTCTCTGTAACTCTGCCATTCAAATAAATAAATAAATCATTAAAAAAAAAAAAAACCAGAGAGATGCTTAGAAATTTGAGGGAATGAGTCAATCAAATGGAAAAAAAGAAGGAAATGTTGATGGAGCCGGTGCTGTGGTATAGCAGGTCAGGCCGCCTGGGACACCCGCATCTCATATGGGCACTGGTCCACGTCCTAGCTTCTCCACTCCTGATCCAGCTAACACACCTGGGAAAGCACCAGAAAATGACCCAAGTGCTTGGGCCCCTGTTACCCACAAAGGAGACTGGCTCTTGGCTTTGGCCTGGCCAAGATATGACCATTCAAGGAGTGAACCAGCAGATGGAAGATCTCTCTGTGTCTCTCCCTCTGTCTGTAACTCTGCATTTCAAATAAATAAATTAATTTTTTACTTTTTTTTTATTTTTGACAGGCAGAGTGGACAGTGAGAGAGAGACAGAGAGAAAGGTCTTCCTTTTTGCCGTTGGTTCACCCTCCAATGGCCGCCGTGGCTGGTGCACCGCGCTGATCCAAAGGCAGGAGCCAGGTGCTTCTCCTGGTCTCCCATGGGGTGCAGGGCCCAAGCACTTGGGCCATCCTCCACTGCACTCCCTGGCCACAGCAGAGAGCTGGCCTGGAAGAGGGGCAACCGGGACAGAATCCGGTGCCCCGACCAGGACTAGAACCTGGTGTGCTGGCGCCGCAGGCAAAGGATTAGCCTATTGAGCCGCGGCTCCAGCCAATAAATAAATATTTTAAAAAGAATTCTACAAATAAGAGTAGAGCTTGATAAATTTTTAAAAGGAAACAACCATGTAACCAGCACTCTACTCACATGGCCAGTCCTCTCCTGAGAAAGACCGCCCACTGGGCCCACCTCCAGAAGCTATAATTAGATCAAGCCTCCACCCCTCATCTCACCGTTAACACTGCTTATTAACTGCTCCTAGAAGATTCCGGGGGTTAAACCTATGCCTGAGTGTGGGCAGTGCAATTTTGTTCCATGCCCATCAGATGTATGAATCGGGATACCTTCTGCTGCTCTACAGTCACTCCTACAGGTACTTGGAAAACTGCTGGACAGGGTCCACTGAAGCTGAGTGCATGCAAACCCAAGGACCACAAAGTCTTCTCCAAGTGTCCGGCACCCAGGAGTACGTCTGCTCGCCAAGACACGACGTACACGGACGTTCACTGGAGGAGCTATTTCTAACCGTCAGGACTGGAGACAGCCCAGCTCTGGGCTTGCTTTGTACTCTGAGTACTGTGTTTGATGACTGGAAGCGCCTGTGCTAGGCCTGGATTTTAGAAGTCCAGCTACTATATTTTCCCTTTTTGCTTATCTTTATGCATTTGGTATCTCATTTAAGACATCTTTGCCTGTAAGCAAGTCACAAAGGTATTTATGTTTCTTCCAGATTTGTTATTCTGCTTTTCACACTTAGAGCTGCACCGTATGAGAGGCGTATGCCTTCTGCTGTAATTTTGCTCGTAGCTGACAGTACTGACTGGCTCACACAACGTCCACTCCTGAAACTCCGTCCACCCCCTTTGCTGATCTTCTTTCGCAACTTCCCTCGCAGCTGGAGACGGCCAGATGCGCAGTTCATGCAGTGGCCCTCAAGTGGCGTATGAGAGGCTGTGGATTTCTTGAAAAAAGGCAGCCAGTGCAGGAGGAAATGCCTCTGTCCCATCCTATGGACACGAACGGAGTAACTGGAGCTTGACGCGCGCGTCCTCCAGCCAGGAGGGAAAGACAAGGCTGTGCAGAGACGCAGCCCTGACATCGTTGCCGTGAAGAGAGAAGCCACCGATTCTGAGTGTTCTGCAGCCAAAAGGATTTTCTAAAGGGACAGAATCCACTAGAGCTCCACGTGTCTGTCTCGGGTTTGTGGGTTCCGTGAGTGCGTGTGGGTTAGACATGTGACTGAGATGGCCACGCTGCAGGGCTGGAGTTAAAGTCGGGCACCAACTCATCGCTGTGTTGGTGACGCACCGCAGGCCCTGCTCACAGCTGAATGTGTGTCTTATGTAACATTTCACTTTTCTGACACGCGCTGCACTCGTGATGTGCAGTTTTTAATACGTCATGCTCCACGCGTGGTCTGATACCAGGTAACACCAATTCTGCCCACAGAAATGACATTATGTGACACTTTTTTTTTAACTTTTATTTAATGAATATAAATTTCCAAAGTACGATTTATGGATTCCAATGGCTTCCCCCACATACCGTCCCTCCCATCCACTACCCTCCCCTTTCCCACTCCCTCTCCCCTTTCCCACTCCCTCTCCCCTTCCATTCACATCAAGATTCATTTTCGATTATCTTAATATACAGAAGATCAGCTTAGTATACATTAAGTAAGGATTTCAACAGTTTGCTCCCACACAGAAACATAAAGTGAAAAATAATAGATGATTTTTTTAAAATGATGATGAAATCAGATCAGACCTATTGTCATGTTTAATCCCAGTGAGAGTCAAGTTGGGAGTTGATAATTTCTTTTTTTTTTTTTTTTACAGAGGATCAGTTTAGTATGCATTAAGTAAAGATTTCAACAGTTTGCACCCCCATAGAAACACAAAGTGAAATATATTGTTTGAGTACTCGTTATAGCATTAAATCTCAATGCACAGCACATTAAGGACAGAGATCCTACATGAGGAGTAAGTGCACAGTGACTCCTGTTGTTGACTTTACCAATTGACACTCCTGTCTATGGCATCAGTAATCTCCCTATGCACCAGTCATGAGTTTCCAAGGCTATGGAAGCCCTCTGAGTTCTCCGACTCTTATCTTGTTTAGACAAGGTCATAGTCAAAGTGGAGGTTCTCTCCTCCCTTCAGAGAAAGGTACCTCCTTCTTTGAAGACCTGTTCTTTCCACTGGGATCTCACTCACAGAGATCTTTTGCCAGAGTGTCTTGGCTTTCCATGCCTGAAATACTCTCATGGGCTTTTCAGCCAGATCCGAATGCCTTTAGGGCTGATTCTGAGGCCAGAGTGCTATTTAGGACATCTGCCATTCTATGAGTCTGCTGAGTATCTCACTTCCCATGTTGGATCACTCTCCCCTTTATTTATTCTATCGGTTAGTGTTAGCAGGTACTAGACATGTTTATGTGCTCCCTTTGACTCTTAGTCCTTTCATTATGATCAATTGTGAACTGAAATTGATCACTTGGAATAGTGAGATGGCATTGGTACATGCCACCTTGATGGGATTGAATTGGAGTCCCCTGGTATGTTTCTAACTCTACCATTTGGGGCAAGTCAGCTTGAGCATGTCCCAAATTATACATCTCTTCCCTCTCTTATTCCCACTCTTATGTTTAACAGGGATCACATTTCAGTTAATTTTCAACACTTAAGAATAACTGTGTATTAATTACAGAATTAAACCAGTCATATTAAGTAGAACAGACAAAAAAACTACTAAGAGGGTTATGTGACACTTTTAAAAGACATGCACTATCTTTTAGGATAACTGTTATCCAGGAGTGCCCAATTCAGAGCGCACGCTGCAGACACAGTGGAGTGGAGGTGTGGCTTCCATGCAGTGTACCCGTCTGCAGTGGCCTCTGCCCATTTCCGCTTGCACTCGCTAACTTCCTCTTGTTTCTGTGCTGAATTGCATGAGCAACAGGAATGCAACTTTTTATTTTTTGTCAGCCCAAGTATGATTTTTATTCAGGGTCAATCAGGAGAGACCTGAAAGGCGTTTTGGTTTAAAAATCTTTTTACATGTTGATCATCAACTCACTTCACTTGTTCTGTTTGAAGCACTCACTAAAATGTTGTATGATTATTTTTTCTCCTCTCTGTGGCTTTTTGTTCCTTCCAACAAGATATTTCTATTTGTGTGAGATATTTTCTTTTCTTTTCTTTTTTTTTTTAATTTGACAGATAGAGTTAGCAGTGAGAGACAGAGAGAAAGGTCTTCCTTCCGTTGGTTCACCCCCCAAATGGCTACTATGGCCGGAGCTACACCAGTCTGAACAGGAGCCAGGTGCTTCCTCCTGGTCTCCCATGTGGGTGCAGGGCCCAAGCACTTGGGCCATCCTCCACTGCCTTCCCGGGCCACAGCAGAGAGCTGGACTGGAAGAGGGGCAACCGGGACTAGAACCTGGCGCCCATATGGGATGCCGGCACTGCAGGTGGAGGATTAACCAAGTGAGCTACGGTGCTGGCCCCGAGATATTTTCAACTGTCATTACATATTCTCTTTTTATATTAATAGGAACTGCAGCAAAAATAGAAGAGATGAGGGTTCTGCGAGGACTGGGGACGATGGACTGCTAAGCCAAGAAAGAACACGCTGAAGACTGCACCGCAGGGCCCAGGGATATAAATTCTAGAATTGGAATTCATCTCCCAACAGCTTGTCCATTTGGTAAACTAGTTAAGATCCAGAAAATTCACCCTGAGTGAGGAGGAAAACAAACGAATAAATAGTTCGAGCTGTCGTCCGTGAGAGCGTCCTGGATTCTGCTCATCAGGTTGCCGAGGGGCAGGAGATCTCGGTGAAATGACTTTTCCTCTAATCTTTTAAGGTAATAGAAAGACATTACTTCTTAATTGAGGAGAGAAATTTCATTCCAACTTGTACATTTCAACTTCAATAACTTCCAATTCCAACATTACTACCCTAATATTTAATTATTGTATTATTATTATCATTATTACCATAATTATTTCTCTTCTCTACTACTGTATTCTTTGCACACGTATGTGAGGATGTGATCACCATCTACTCTATAACTGAGGCTGTAAGAATTCCCTGAGTGTAAAGTCATTTGGAAACTTTAGGACTGACCAACTCTCTTGGGATTTTGTAGATGTATTAAGAAGTCGGAGAAGAATTCGACAAAGACCCTGGGGTGAATTCAGTCCAACAGCCAGCAGCCCACACGACACTAAGCAACCAACAATCAATGGTTCGTTTTTAAAAATTTTAACTCGGTTGTGTCAGTGCTTGTGTTTTGGAATTCAGCCATGTGACGACATTCCTGAAATGATTAAAAGCACAGATCTGGGTCCCAGCTGGACCTCTCCTCAAACCTCACTGCCTAACTGGGTAACCTTGAGCAACTTATTAACTTTCTCCGAGACTCCTCTCTAAAGCAGGAATAAGAAGTCTGTCACACAGAGGCCGGCGTGGAGGCGCGGTCAGTTAAGACACAGCCCGGGGTACTGACTTCCCATACCAGAGAGCCTGGCTGTCGTCCCGGCTACTACGCTGTTCTGATCCAGTTTCCTGCTACTGTGCCTGAGAGAGCAGCGGGAACTGGCCAAGTTCATGGGCTCCTGCCACTCACATCTGCCTCAGATGGAGATCTGGGCTCCTGGCTTAGGCCTGGCCCAGACCTGTTTATTGTGAGCATCTGGGCTGTGAACCCACAGATAGAAGATCTCTCTTTGACTTTCCCCATCTCCCTGTCATGCTGCCTTTCAAATAGATAAAGAAAGCTTTTTTAAAAAGGTTGGGCTGGCATTGTGGCACAGCTGGTTAAGCCGTTGCTCATATTTCTCATAAGGCCAGGCTCCCATGTCAGAGTGCTGGTTCAAGTCTCTGCTTCCAATTCAGCTTCCTACTCGTGTGCCTGGGAAAGCAGCAGATATGGCCCAAGTGCTCGGGCCCCTGCACCCATGTAGGAGATCAGGATGGACTTTATTTTAAAAATTTATTTGTTTATTTGAAAGGCTGAGTTACAGAAGAGAGAGAGAGAGGAAGAGAGAGAGACATCTTCTATCCCATTGGTTCACCCCCTGCCCCAAATAGCTGCAACTACCACGGCTAGGCCTGCCTGAAGCCAGGCACCTGTAACTCCATTCACAAGGGAGCAGGGGCCCACGCACTCAAGCCATCTTCCGCTGATCTTCCAGGCATATTAGCAGGAAGCTGGATCAGAAGTGGAGCGGCTGGGACCAATGTTGGCACTGTAACAGTGGCTGAACCCACTGTGCCACAACTCCAAGATGGAGTTCTTGGCTCCTGGCTCCAGTCAGGCCCAGCTCTGGCTGTTGTTGGCATGGGGAGTGAACCAGCAAATGGAAGATCTCTCCCTCTCTCTGTTGCTCTAACTTCCAAATAAATAAATGCATCTTCAAAAATACAATATCTACCACACAGAGTTGGCAGTTGTGAAAATAATCTGACAATGTTTTTAAAATGATTTAGCATAGGGGCTGGCCACCTGCGGTGCTGGCATCCCATGCGGGCACCGGTTCTAGTCCCAGCTGCTCCTCTTCCAATCCAGCTCTCTGCTGTGGCCTGGGAAGGCAGTAGAGGATGGCCAAGGTGCTTGGGCCCTGCACCCACACAGGACACCAGGAGGAGGCTCCTGGCTCCTGGCTTCAGATCAGCGCAGCTCCAGCCATTGCGGCCATTTGGGGAATGAGCCAATGGAGGGAAGACCTTTCTCGCTGCCTCTCCTTTTCACTGTCTGTAACTCTACTTCTCAAATAAATAAATAAAATCTTTTAAAAAAATGATTTAACATGTCTGACATATATCACAAATAATAAATAACTATCATTATCATCTTTATTCAAGAAGGCAAAAACCATCTAATTTTTGTACAACTGATGCTGTTTAATAGTTATTTTTCAGAGAACTAACGAGTGTTCTAACACAAACTGCTGCTTATCCACATAGAAGCGTTTGTTAAGTGAAGAGAATGATCAACCGCAGTCTTGAATACCGCTGTTCTCTAGGAAGCCTTGACATCGTGTAGCACTGGTCCTGTTGTTCTCAGACACATCCCAGACGTCATCTCGTTGACATCTACAGAATTCCTTCTGGGACTCTGAGAACTGACATCTTGACAACACTGGGTCCTACGATTAATGAACACACGTGTGTGTATGCATGTAGCCGTTTATTTAAATCCTTTGACTTGTCTCACCCGTGTGGTACACGTTTCCGCACACAATCCTGCATGTATTTTCTTAGATTTACAGCCATTTCCTCACAATTAAGTCAGACGCCAGCTGTGCATATCCTGGTGTTCTTTACCACATTAACGACCTTCTCACTCCTAGTGTCTGGAGAGTTTTGATCACAAATGGACGTTGAGTTTCACCAACTTCTTTTTCTGCATCTGTTGAGATGATCTTGTGATTTTTTACTTTATTCTGTTATTATGGTGAATTGCATGTATTGATTTTCAAGTTATTGAATCAGACTTGCACTCCTTCAGCAGTCATCACTTGGCCATGATGTATTATCCTTTTTATATATTCCTATATTTTACTTCCTAATGTTGTTGAGGGACATTGTTCTGTAGCTTTCTTAATTTTTTAAAAAAATGTATTTATTTTACTTAGGAGGCAGAATTAGAGAGGGATCTTCCATCCACTGGTTCACCCCCCAAATCCCCCACAAAGCCTGGGGCTGGGCCAGGCTGAAGTAGGACCCTGGAACTCCATCTGGGACTCACTTGGGCGTGCACCCAAGGATGTCATTTGGGTCTTCCATGTGGGTAGCAGGGGCCCAAGGACTTGGGCCATCCTCCACTGCTTTCCCAGGCACATCAGCAGGGAGCTGGATTGAAAGTGGCACAGCCAGGACTTGAATGGGTGCCCATATGGGATGCTGGCTACTTACCTCTGAACCCACGCGGAAGACCCAGATGAAACTCCTGGCTCCTGGCCTCAGCCTGGCCCAGCCTCAGCCACTGTGGCCATCTGTGGAGTGAATCAGTGGGTGAAAGCTCTCTCTCGCTCACTCGCTCTCTCTCTTCTCCTCTCTAACTCTGCCTTTAAATAAATAAAACAAAAAATAGTGAAGTATACAATTCTGTGGCATTTCACACACCCACCAAGTTATGCAATCATCGTCTCTACCTGGTTTCAAGACATCCACATCATACCAGAAAGGAAACCCCGTACAGACAGGAGACCCTGTCCTGTGGATTCATCTGTCCCATGTGTGACGTGACGGGGCCATACAAGAAGTGACCCGTTGTGTCTGCCTCACTCACTGAACCCAGTGTTTCCAAGGTCCATGCACGTTGTAGCACGCAGCAATACTTCGTTTTTAGGCCTGAATAAAACACCATTGTATAGACACAGCATTGTTTTAATTGCCTATTTTCAATGTCTGTTCTGTTTTCATTCTTGATTAGCTGGGCTAGAAGTTTATCAATTTTTTTTTTTTTTTTGACAGGCAGAGTGGACAGTGAGAGAGAGAGACAGAGAGAAAGGTCTTCCTTTGCCGTTGGTTCACCCTCCAATGGCCGCCGCGGCCAGGGCGCTGCGCTGATCTGATGGCAGGAGCCAGGAGCCAGGTGCTTCTCCTGGTCTCCCATGGGGTGCAGGGCCCAAGCACTTGGGCCATCCTCCACTGCACTCCCTGGCCACAGCAGAGAGCTGGCCTGGAAGAGGGGCAACTGGGACAGGATCCGGCGCCCCGACCGGGACTAGAACCCAGTGTGCCGGCGCTGCAAGGCGGAGGATTAGCCTAGTGAGCCGCGGCGCCGGCCAGAAGTTTATCAATTTTACGGACTAATTTAAAGAGCCAGTTTTTGGTGCCTTTGGTTTTGTTCTACTGTGTGTTTTTCCCCCTCTGTTTTCAACTTCACTGACTTCTACTCTTTTTTTTTTTTTTTTTTTTGACAGGCAGAGTGGACAGTGAGAGAGAGACAGAGAGAAAGGTCTTCCTTTGCCGTTGGTTCACCCTCCAATGGCCGCTGCAGCCGGCGCACTGTGCTGATCCGAAGGCAGGAGCCAGGTGCTTCTCCTGGTCTCCCATGCGGGTGCAGGGCCCAAGCACTTGGGCCATCCTCCACTGCACTCCCGGGCCACAGCAGAGTGCTGGCCTGGAAGAGGGGCAACCGGGACAGAATCCGGCACCCCGACCGGTGCCGCAAGGCAGAGGATTAGCCTAGTGAGCCATGGCGCTGGCCCCCTCTGTTTTCGACTTCACTGACTTCTACTCTTATCAGTATACATTGGCTTTATATCCTGTGATCTTGCTAGACTCATTTCTTACTTCTAAGAGCTTTTCTCTTAATGCTTCCTGTAGGTTTAATGTGTTTTACTTAAGGTGGGAAGCAGATTGATTTGGAACCTTTTCTCTTTTCTAATATGAGCATTTTTTAAAAAGGATTTATTTTGTTTATTTGAAAGGCAGAGCGACAGAGCGGAGCGGGGGGAGAGAGAGAGAGAGAGATCGATCTTCCACCTGCTGGTTCACTCCCCAAATGGCCACATGCTGGAGCTGAGCCAGGCCAAGCCCAGGAGCCAGGAGCTTCATCCAGGTCTCCCCTGTGGAAGACAGACCCCAAGCGCTGGGGCCACCTTCTGTGGCTTTCCCAGCTGCCTTAGCAGGGAGCTGGAACAGCAGCCGAGCAGCCAGGACTCGAACCTGCACTTGGCTGTGGGGTGCTGGCATCGCACGCAGCAGGCGGCTTAGCCCACTGTGCAACACCACCAGCCCCGTCACGGGAGCATTTAATCACAGATTTCCTTCTGACCACAGCTGCATCCACAAATGTTTCTATGTTTTATTTTCACTTAGGCCAATATAGTCTCTAATTTCCCTCGAAACGCCCTGTTTGAACCATGGGTCACTTAGAAGTCTGTTATTTGGGGATTTTCCAGGTAACTTTCTATGTTGATTTCTAATTTCATTCTAGCACAGCAAGAGAACTTACTCATGCAGCTTCGATTGTTTTAAATGTGTTCCTGTGTAAGGCTCGTGTGCACTGGCAAAGCGTGTTCTGTTGGTATTCCATGAGCACCACTCAGACCCAGCTCTGTGACTGCATCGGTCAAATCTGCAACCTCGGTGCACCTCGGCCTTTGGCTTCTCTCTGTTACCAAGAGTGGTGCTGCCGCGTCCTGCCGTAAGCAGGGAGACGTTTCCTTCTCTTTCCGGACTGTCAGCTTTGGTTTTGTGTATTTTCAAACCGTTGGGAGGTACATTCACGTTCAGAATTCTCCTGTCTTCTTGTATCAACGTGTGATGTCTGTCTGTTCCACAAACAGGCGGCCAGGGGCCAGATGGGACCGCCCTGCGTCCCTCTCGGGGCTGGCGCGTCCTGAACAAAGGCGAGGCCTGGGAGCCCCAAGGAGCTCCAGCACTTGCACAAAGCCACAGTGTTTTCACACAGACTCGAGGTTTGGCCTGGGGACTGGCCCAGGTCTCAGACACAGCAGCTGTGTGGTCACTTCCCTGGGACACAGCCTCAGCTGCAAGCCTTCAAAATACACCCTCAAGCTGCTAGTTGGTCTGGCAGGCCGTCCCGGGCCTCCCAGAGCCAGCAACTGCCCTGCCCTGCCTGTCTCCCTGGAACATCCACCCAGGTCTCTCCTCAGGCCAGAACCATCACCCTGCGACACGGCAGCTGTCGCTCCCCGTCTTCATGGAGGAACGACACAGGACCCTGCGCTGTTCTTTCGTCTGCTCGGCCCTCCCCGGGTTTGCTGCTGGTTCTTCCCGGGTTGGCTACCGACCCTTCCACCTCCGTGGAAGGGCGGTTCCCCCTGCCACATTCCCCACTTCCGCGGGGGAGCAGCACACCGCCGGCCGGCTCTCTCGGGGGCTGCACAGGTGTTCCTTCAGATAGATGTTCCTGGTGCATGTTGTCGCTCTCCTCCTTTATAGTCCTCTTCCACCAATCCCAACTCTGCTACCCACACGCCGAGTACGCTGCTCTCCTCCAATCAGGAGCAGGTCCTGCTGTTTATTGGTTGAACTGGAGGCAGCTGTGTAGAAGCTGTTTCTCCCTTCTCAGCGCCATATTGTGGGAGAGCAGATGCATAGAATAAGTCCTAATTCCAGTAACTTAGTCTAGTCCGGGTTGCTCCCCACAGGCAGCTCTGGCAAAGCAGGCACTGGGGACCGTGGTATCAACCCGCGTGCAGGTTCTGTGCACGAGTGCTGCTGTAGCATTGTTACTGTGGCATTTGCTGGCTTGCAGAACAGGAGAGCTTTGAGCAAACTGCTCAGTTAGAGAACAGGGAGAAAAACCCAAAGAGCTACCATCTGTGCCGTCCTGTTGCTCCACCATCTCTTCTCTTCTAACTAATTGTTCGATGAATTCATCTAGTTTTGTTTCTTGCTCATCATATAGAGAACCTCAGACCTGAGTAAATATCTTCTTGCCAATCTGAATGACAGAGAGCAGAACTGTAGCCCATACACAGGTGTGTGCCTTTTGAGACGCCAGTTTTCACCACACTAGCTACGCGAACAGAGAACATGGCTACTCTCCCGGCACAAAGGAGTTAGCGCAGTAAAAGAAAAAACAAAAGATGTGTAAATGCACGCGGCACTCGGCCCCCACGCTGGCGGTGGGGGCTCGGGGAGGCAGCTGGAATTAGTAAACTCTAGGGACTTGGGGGAAGAAGCCGATCTCTGGAGAGAGGGCGCTGGGCGAGGGAGGCGGGCTTCTCCCAGGGCGAGTGTGGCCCTGCTGTGTACAAACTCCAAACTGCATAAAGAGCTGGCGGGAAGCATCGGTGTGGCCGTGCTGCTCCAGGAAGGGCGGACGTCCGGGGAGCCCAGGCAACACCTGCTCCTGTGGTGGTGCTGTCTCCCCAACCACGGGCGGGAGTGGTTGCCGGAATTCCAAACCCGGCGCCGCACGCCGAGGGCAGACGGTGCCATCAGACGTGAGAGATCAAACCTTAACAAGGGGTGGGAAATGCCAACCGCTCCTTTAAGTTGCTTATCCACCAAGCAGGAAGTCCCACAAGGAGGCTGCCTACCAGGAGGGGCCTCTCAGTCGGGGATGTGGTCCTCAGCCTGGCGGCCAGAGTATAAGCGCTGACGGCTCAGATGAACAGGTGCACATGACCCACCTGCGGGCACTGAGGAAGAAACCCGCAGGCCACAGCACCAGTCCAGACAGAGCAACCTACACCGTTGAGAGCCTCTCCTCTGCAGGAAACGTGACAGATGCCGGTCCCAGACTGACGGGGGCGCAGCGGCTGGAGGAGTCTCATCCCGCTCTGGTTATCTGGCGTCCCTGCTCCACCAGAGACCCACTGGGCAAACCGCCCAGACACTCGGTCAGTAGTGGCACCCTCGCACGCGGCCAGGGTCCCACGAGTCCTGGGTTCCCTCCCTTCTCCTGGCAGATACCAGCCGCTTCAGGTCACGTAAGTGCTTGGTTTGTGGTTGTACCTGTCCTTGGCACTTGGTCTTGGACCAGTTATTAAATCTTCCTGGCCGGCGCCGCGGCTCACTAGGCTAATCCTCCGCCTTGCGGCGCCGGCACACCGGGTTCTAGTCCTGGTCAGGGCGCCGGATTCTGTCCCGGTTGCCCCTCT